AGTTTTTTATATATTTTACCAAGCTAACGAGATAATAAAATATAGTTGCATCTATTACAAGAGAATATGTCTCTTCATGGTCAATGCCGAGTCTTTGTGAAAACCTTTGAGTTACGAGTTTTGCTTTATATCTCACAATCTCATCTTTTTTATTTCGTTTTCATACAAATATCCATTTGTATTCTATTGATCGAACAGCTTTTAGGTGTTTTGACTATGAATTAAAAAACTATTCGTTTTGTAAGAGAACATAATTTTACATGGATTACTCTTTTTATTTAAGTCAATCATCTTTATGTCGATATTTTTCAATAAATTTAGGCTCGAGATTCTTATTTTCATTCAAAATATCAACTCGAAACATTATATACAAAAATACTATAAATAAAATGTTTATTTTTGGCTTTATTTTCTTCCCGTATTGACATAATTTATCAAAGTCTATTGATTTTCTCAAACATTTAGAATTCTTCTAGAAGCTTATTATCATAAATATCTTATACCGTTTTGGAAATATTTGCAATCTTTATATTTTCATTTTGATTATTTTCCCTTTTCTTTCAAAAATTTTTATCTTTAGAACCGATCAGTCTTTCATGCTTGTAGCGTGCTTTAGATTCATTTGCTATGAAATTAATAGATTTTCCTTTAAGGATATCAATTATAGTAAGAGTATTCTTAGCAAGGACATGCGTATTAGTTACTCTTTTTTGATTTAAGAATGCATAAGATATTTGGTTTGTAAGACTTTATAAATGAATTATCCTATGAACTTTTAATTCATATTATTTTGTGTGAGGATCAAGGTGATGTAAAGATGGAGTACTTCATGTAACTTGTTTTTCAATATTTTTAAGTGCTTATTTGCTTATTCTCTCTTCCTTAATATTGAAAAAATTGTTTCATCAAAACCATAGTTGGCAAATCGAGGTGTAAAAAATAATCCCTAGTAATGGTTCAAGATATTTAATTATTGAAAGAGATTCATATATAACATATATTTTTAATCTCTTTTGAGAGCCCATTTTAGTTCATTGTGCATATATTAGACAACCAAAAAATTTTAGATAAAAAATATTTGGTTCATCACTAGAAACCAATTAAAGAATAAAGAATTTGTAGTAATTTATGAGTCCGATATGAATAATTATCACTACATGTAAGATTTCATGTCCCTAAATATAAACATGAATTTTTATTTTCATAAGTAATGATTTATTTATCAATTGGAGCATTATGATAAATGATTATACTAAATCATTCAAAATATAAACATGAGCAAAAGATTGTTCAACTTTCATTCTAATAGTCGAGTAATAAGTATTTAATGCTTGAGAGGTAAATTCATTAGTATTATCAAGATGAATTATTTTAATGGCATAATCTAGAAATTATACTCGTAATCGAATTATTTGAGCTAACAACCTTGAAAATGTGAGGTTTCGAGTAGATAATTGGTATAAATGTGACCATCTTATGAATACTTATATTAAAATTATAAAATATCTAAATGGTTCATATGGTCGATGAACTATTCCACATATATCACATTAAGTACTTTCTAAAAATACTAGGAATTAAATCTTAGTTTTACTTAGTTATGACTTAATAATTAGTTTACTTTTGAGAACATTGAGAACATAAAAATTTGTTAGATTAAAGAATCTTTTACCTCTTCAATGGATGCCCATATAAATTGTTAATAATTTTTTGTATCATGAAAGATCTAGGATAGCCCAATCGATCATGCCACATAATGAAAGTATTTCAATTAGTAACCTTTTGATTTACTATAATATATATTTTTAAATCATTCAAATATTTGTAATAAATACTAGAAAAGAAAGTTGATAAGTTCTCTAATACATGTTTTTTACCTAATGTAATAATTATAATATATAAATATTCAATATTTTTACATTTTCTTTCTTGATATAATATATATTTAAATGAATATTTTGATACTTAGTAAATTTATATGAGACTTTGGAGAAAATAGTACATCACTTATAATAAAATTTGTCCTTTTCCTTTTCGAAATTTTAAAATTTATCGCTTTAAGTAATAATATATTTGTTCTTTTAAAGCCTTTAAAATTTATCTCTTCAAGTAATAATATATATGCTCTATTGGAGCTTTCTAGTAGATTGATACTATCAAATAGTATTGACAAAAATTAAATAATTAAATAAACACAAAACAACTAAATAAATATATAGCTAAATAAATTTGTAACTATCAACATGTAATACGAATTATAAAAAAAAAAAAAACATCTTGTTTATAAATAGAAAAGCTAACAAGTTGTTAATTTTAATTATTATTATTTTAATGTATAAAATTTGCTTTTATAATTTACTCTTTCTTTTTCAATAAGGCTTGATAAACCTCAACAAGGTGCTTTGGCAAATAGTGAATATATGACCAATGTTTCTTCATGCCACATCTATAACATTTATTTTCAGAATGCCGACTTAATCTATTTTTATTTTGTTTTTATTTCTTTTCATAATTTATCCACTTCCGGTAGTGAGGTATATTATTATGATTATTATGAATATAACGATAATTATTTCGATCATGACTATACCTATGTCCACGATCATGTCCATATCCATGGCCACGATCACATCTTCATCCATACTTATATTATTATAAGTTGTCAAATTTACTTCAAGAAATAGAGTAGATCCAAGTGGACGAGATTCATGATTTTTCATCAATAACCACAATCAAGTATAAAATCAATTTAGAATATTTATAACAATCTCTTTTTTTGGTATTTCTACCGTAGAAGTATATTCGAGGCATGAAAAGTAGAAAATGTTTTTTCAGTATCAAGCACTTATGATTAATAATTCTTTCCATAATGATAATAATAAGAAGAAGAAGAAATAAGAGCAACTACAATAATAAAATTTAAGCTTTTCAAATGATATATATTAGATCATTAGATTTTATATATGAGATCATTCAAATTTTTTAAACGTATATTGTATGTATCATTAGATTTAAAGAGACATGCTTTTTTAGTGCCTAACCTTTGAATTTTTTTTTTATTTCTGTTTTGGCACCTAACCATTGATTTCTAATAATTTGTTATCTAATTTTTTATTTGTTTCAATGCTTGACTTCACCTAAAGCTCAATTTTGCCGATGTATCTTGCAAGAGCTACCAAATGATAGTTAACTCCGGACATGTCAACACCTCATGCTTTAAGATGGCCATGGGCACTCAAATAGAAAAAAAAAAAAAATCAAAAGTTAGGCAAAAAAAATTTTTTTAACAAATTTATTGTCTTAAGATTGCAAAATCAGTCTAACAATTTTTAATATATATTTTTTATATCATGTTCGTGACATTTTTTCACTTATCAAATATAATTTTTTAATACTCTATATCAATTAAAAAATTATTTTTTAAAAAAATTATAAACCCTTTAAGTTGTCTAGACAAATTCAATATTATGTCATTTAATCTAAATATATATAGAGTCCAATGAAGAGTAAATTCACTAAAACGAAAAACATATAAGATCTAATTACGATTGCCATTTCTGAAACAAATAGTTGGTTAATGGAGAAATTTATAAAAAAATAAAAATTACTTCTTCTATCCAAGAAAAAGATCGACCAATATATAATGGGTGACAAAAGCTTTTTGTGATCGATAACTTGCTAAACTTTTATAATGGGTTGAGATGGGATAGAATCAAGATGAAAAAATTTAGTGGTCAAGCTTTTTTATTTGGACATTTAAAATGTAATACTTTTGTTAGTAGTGATGATAATGATAGAGTTTATAAGCAAAGTATGAATTAAGTTAAGAAGTGAATGCTTTGTTAAAATTGCTCATGCAGTTAGCATAATAACAAAAAAAACATGCATGCATGTAATTGATGATGTTTTTAGAATTTAAATTTATATGACTTTCAATATTTAAACATAAGTTTTGAGACACCACATATATATAAAAATTATGGAAGCATAAGATATGCATTAAACTTATTTATAATAAGAAAAATATAGATCGAGTACAAGAAGAGGATAAACAATTGGTGTGAGAAAAATTAAATAAATTTTTTTAGAAAATTACATTTTCAATATCTAACCATTGATTTTATTTATTTATTTCTATTTGAGTGTCCACAACCATCATAGAGTGTGAGGTGTTGACGTATCCGGAGTTGATTATCATATGACACTTTTTGACTACCACGTGGCAGCTCTCACCTAACACGTTAGTAAAATTAAACCTTAAGTGAAGTTGAATAACAAAACAAATAAAAAATCAAAACTTGGGTAGCAAATCATTAGAAATCAATTGTTGGGCACCAAAATAGAAAAGAAAAATGAAAGATTGGATACCAAAAAAACATTTCTCTCTCATATTTAAAGTAAATAATAAATTAGATACATACTTCTTAATGATCTCAATAATATAAATCTTTTAATATAGTACTTGTGTAGAGAAATAATCCAATGATTGAAACAAATAGTTGAGTTTTTTGGTAGATACATATCCTATGGTCTATTATCTCGATTGGTTAGAGTTTTATGATGATAACGTGTTATAAAAAAATGATGACAATAATAGAATTGTAAAAAAAGATGATAGAAAACAACTTAATTATAGTAATTAAAAATGATAGTAATCTAAAATAACTCTCTCAACTCTACAAAAACACTCATTCAACTAATGAACAATCAATCTTATTTATAGACTTTAGAGTTATGAAGAGAATTAAAAAACATCGAAAAAATTCATAAAAGGTTACATCAATATTTCAATTTTTGTATTATCAAACATGATAATGATGAATTAAATCTTATTAAATAATATGATTAATAGTAAAAATAAAAATCATCATACACATTTATTATTTCATAATATTTTTTAATTTTTTTGAAATAAATGACAATCATTCCCTAACTCCTTTTTCGTGGTCTGCAGTGAACATTTAATTTGGCATACTAAGTCTTACAGCTAATGGTAATAACTAGGAGTGGTGGGTAGCCTCTGAGTTCCCCAATGGTGCAAATTTGACAGCTTGAACCTCCTCTTCTTCTCCGTCGGCCCTGTAGATATCATCATCGTAATTCCCTAAAAAGGACAAATCAAAGCCCAAAGTAGAAGGGACCATTTATGAAACGACAAGGAAAAACAAGGACACCAATCCATTCTTTTCCCTTAATTGTTTACAACTAGCTGAATAGAAACGCGTCGTTCGGCCACCCACCCTTACTCTCACTGTAAAGCAGCTAGCAAACTAGGACCCACACCCCACTTGGTCTTTCCCCTGTCAATTACCATAATACCCTTACTTACACCTCCACTCCCTCTCCTCTTGCTAGCAAATAGATGAAAGGGAGAACGCGATGCAAATCTAGCTTCTGCCTCCAATCCTCCGTTCATAACCTCGGATGGATCGCACTATCCTTTCTGACCGTCCACGTGGAGTCTCCTTAATTTATCCCTTACCCTCCTTCAAATATATAATATAATATATCCAGTTCTTCTTAAAAAATATATATCTAGCTAGTTATCCCAAAGCAGTTTCTCAACATTTCTCTCCCCTAGAAGAATTTTCTTTCCGTTCTCTCAGGAATCGAAGCAAGAAATAATTGAATCATGAGAGTCCGGTCATGTCTACCCTCCACCTGTGCCACCAATTCCACTCTAGACTCCACCATCTCCTTCTCAAAAAACCAATCACAGCCTCCGAAACATCTTATTTCCGACACAAGCAGCTCCTCCGACAGTGCAACTACGTCAACCACAAGTAGTACCGACGCAAGCAGCGTCAGCCTTCAAAGCAATCTCTCCCTCCAGACTCTTCCTTCTGTCCCTTCCCTCCAAAAAATCACACCCGAAACTTTTAGTGTCTCTTCTCTTTGCTTAAATTCTCTTAAACCCCAGCAAAATCACCTCCCAATCACCTGTCTTGCAGTTCACAATAACCATCTCTACGCGGCTTCCTCTCACGAAATCAACGTCTATGATCGAACCAACTTATCCCTCATCGATTCCTTCAACGATAAAGATTCCTCCCTAGGCTCCGTCAAGTCAGTCTCTGTTTGTGACGGAAAAGTCTTCACTGCTCACCAAGACTGTAAAATCCGTGCCTGGAAGATATCCTTAACTACCAAACACCACAGGCTGTTAACCGTTCTCCCCACACTTAACGACCGTTTACGCCGTTTCATTCTCCCTAAGAACTACGTGAATGTTCGACGTCATAAGAAGCTGCTGTGGATAGAACATGCTGACGCCGTTACAGGCCTTGCAGTTAACGGTAATAACGGTCTGATCTATTCGGTTTCTTGGGATAAGAGCTTGAAGGTATGGAGAGCTAGTGATTTGAAATGTCTAGAATCTATCAAAGCTCACGAGGACGCAGTCAACGCTGTGGCTGTCTCCGTTGACGGGACGGTTTACACTGGGTCTGCGGATTGTAGGATTCGGGTTTGGGGCAAACCGTTAAACGAGAAGCGACACGTGTTGCTTGCCACTTTAGAGAAGCATAAATCAGCTGTTAATGCATTGGCTTTAAATGACGACGGGTCGGTGCTGTTTTCCGGTGCTTGTGATCGTTCCATTTTGGTGTGGGAGAGAGAGGACAGTGCTAATCATATGGTAGTGACTGGAGCGTTGAGAGGGCATAATAAGGCCATCTTGACTCTGATTAACGTCTCTGATTTGTTGTTGAGTGGGTCAGCTGATCGGACGGTCAGGATTTGGAAAGAGGGACATGATGGCAAATACGTCTGTTTGTCTGTTCTAGATGGGCACCGGAAACCAGTTAAATCTTTGGCTGCTGTTTGGGACGATGATAACGATGTCGTCTCGGTGTTTAGTGGCACTTTGGATGGAGAAATTAAGATGTGGCAGGTGTCGGTTGGTTTCACCTTGCAGTCATGAAATTGCAAAATAACAAATTAAACTAAAATTATTGTAATACATGCAGTGCCTCTCACCCAATCTGGCTGCAATTAATTTTTTGATATCTGTATTTATTTTTTTAATTAATTAATGGGGTTTGAATTTATTTATGTGGTTGGCTTTTTGCATGTGGTCATTAATTGTTTCTTAATGGTATATGTCGCTAGCTAGCAAAAGAAAAGCAACAACTTGTATTGAGTTAGAGATGAGATGAGAGTATTAATTAATTAGTTGATGTTAAATATTCAATGCATTGATCGGAGTGATTAGCTTCATTTTTACAATTTCTCTTTTGTGATATCATTTTCTTTCTTTGAGTAACTTTTGTACTTATGACTATTATATTTGTTATATCTAGTCACCATGAGAAAGCTACTTATTAACAAAATGGTAATCAAGATTGTTTGCGCTGCAACAACCAAAAGAGGAGAAATCCAATGGGAAAGAAGGAAAAACGCAGAGAACACTAATTCTTCAGTACCAGAGACTCTCCACTAATGTTTGCTTTATGATTGAGCAATATTGAAAATTAATGGAATGCAACCCGTAATTAAAGTATTAAAAAGTCTACGTGAGCCATGTGGTAAATTAGGAAATTAATTGATTACATATGCTAGCAGCATTATTTTGAGGATGCCAGGTTTTGTATTTTTATGGAAACGTGAGAAAGGAAACTAACCGAGAGAAAAAAAGAGAGGATAATTACTAGAAAAACCTTATGAAAAAATTTTCTATCTAAAAACCTCACAAATTTATTTTTAAGTTTCTCAAATCCAAAATAATATTTTTCTTATAAAAAACACCTAATAATCATCAACACTAATGTTAACTATTGGTTGTTTTAGTAAGAAAAATATTTTTTTAGGTTTATAAGATTTAAAAATATTATTTTGTGTTTAGGAGATTTAAGAATAAAATAGCAAATTTTTTAGATTGAAAATTCTTTAGAAGGAATTTTGGTTATTATCTCTAGTTTAAATGAAATCATTATATTACAAGATATGTATTTCTATCACGAATGATCATGTTTTATTTAATTAATGCACTAAAATATGTTATACATTCATCTTGTAATTTAATTTAATTATTTGATAAAAAAATATTAAATTTTGATTAATTAAAAATTAGTATTATCGATAATACTTTTTTTCTATCGATATATTAGGATTGAAGAAATCACTAATGTTTATAATGACACGTATTTTTTTTTATTTATATGATAACTATTTGATTAAATTACAAGAGAATAACAAGAGTCTCATTTCATCAATATTAATTAGTTAAATTACCTTGGTTGCTATAGTTACTAGATAGTAAAATTAATCTCTTAATTAATGAAACAAACGGTCAATTAAAAAAAAACTTTAATATAAGAAATTTTTTAGTATAATAAAAAAAAGTAGTTGGATGTTAGTGTTTAAAAGTCAAGGACAAAAAAAATAAAAATAAAAATAAAAATAAAAATAAAATTCTTTCGAATGCAATAAAAAAGAACTTGACTTGATCATGGAAAAAAAATAAATAAATATCAAACTCATTAAAAACTATGAAATGAGTTTATTATTAGATAAAAACTATATAAAAAAACTCTAAAAAAATTTTTTATCTAAAAATTTTATCAATTTATTTTTTAAATCTCTCAAACCTAAAAAAAATAATAATAATAATAAAATAATAATAATAATAATAATAATTCTTACCAAAAGACTCAATAGTTAACTAGTGTTAAGTTAAATGTTAACTATTGTGTGTTTTGATAAGAAAAATATTATTTTGAGCTTGAGATATTCAAGAATAAACTAATGAGTTTCTTGGATATAAGATTATTTAAGAGGGTTTTTCTGATAATAATCCCAAAAAAAATGGATTCCACAAAGATAGTGTTAATATGATATATCTTGTTTGTTTAATTTGAGAAATTTTAAAATACTCAAACAAGCAATTACTAATATATACAATAATTACTTTATGAATCCATGAATTTTTAAAAAGAGATATATAGACCAAAAAAATTCCGAATCCCCTAAAATGTTAAAAAAATTCTACCTAGATTTTTTTTTTTTAATTTTTTCTTTCTCATTTCTCTTTTCTTTATGTGTTTATCTTTTTATTATGAAATAACTTACACTAATTATTGGATCAAGTAAAATTCCACATTTAATCATAACCATTTAAAGTGAAAAAAAGGTTAAGATTTTATTAGAAGATTTTCTCTTACTTAATTAAAGTTATATATATGTGTGTGTGTGTGTGTGTGAAATTTAACCAAAATTATTTATTTTCATATATTATCCAAATTAATGCATATTTTACAAAGATAAACTGATCCGAACTCTCTTATTGCATTTTTTTTTAAAAAAAAAAGAAACAACCACTCTCTCCCCTCAGCTATTCTAATATGTGTGAATTTTCTCCATTTTTTTCAATAAAATAATTAAAATTACGATCGAGTTATCGGAAAAAAAAAATTCAAGCAATAGACAAAAGTAAAATTAGTCAGAACACAACTATGAAATTTAAGGAATTGTAAGTTGCAACACATGCATTCAGTACACGTACCTAAAATTTCATGTTATTGAGAGTAAGAAATTTTTTTATTAATAAGTATTGGAGGATCTTTTTGAACCATTTCAATACGTCATTAATAAATCTTGAAAGTGACTAGTTATAACTTTTCTACCCAAAAAAGCAAGATTCAAGCAATGAATCTTGCTTTTGTTAAAAACATATAATTAAAGTTGTTATGGCCTATGAGAGATTATATAAATTTAGAATATTTTTTAATATCCGTAATGAATTAGATTTAAATGGCAAGGTTTATATGAAATATTAATCCTATTTATCTAAAAACTAAAATTTATACTAACATGACGTATCATAAGGATTCAAAAAATCAAGCATATTTTTTCACGAAACAAGCATGTTTAGTCGTTCATTACTTGCAACAATATTATTTTAATAAAGCGTTCGCTCTGTCCGTCCTAAATATAAAGTCAAGGTCAACAAAATCAGTAATGAAAATTGCTTGCCATTTGGTAAGAAATTACCACAGTTGACTATTTGGAAGACTCTATTGTATATATTTTCCTTAGCTGGAATTAATAACCTAGCAAGATAGCTACAACAAAACATTAACTATTTGGGATTGGGCTCCCCTTAAATTTTGTGGTCACATAATCTATTTTAAAATCAATGGTTATGATTTCATTTCATCAAACTAGTAATTATTGATTTCAAAAATCGTAATAATTGATTTCAAAATTAATGATCTGCATTGCCTAATATGAATGTTATTTAATGAGTTACTAGTATAGGCACAAAGAAAATAGATAAATAGTAGAGAGGCAATAAGAAAATAAAAAGAAGTTTACGCATAAATATTTTTATTATTTTTTTATGAATTTTTATGTTTATTTTTTAAATAAATTTATAAAGTAAATATTATTAATTACTTTTTAAACATTTTAAAGTTTTTCGTCATGCTACTTATAAGTTGATTGAGAAGAGTCTACTCCAATATTCTTTACCGCTCTAGCAGTTTCTCGCCACTCAAATCATGAGATAAAAATCTACAGTGGAAGCTGCTGGTAAAAGAAAAATGGAGGTTGGTATAATGGTGCAAATATACGTCAAAGAAAGTACAGGAAATGTGCCGACACATGCAGTCTTTTGTTGAACTGGGTACGTCGTCAGCTCTGACCTAATTTAATTGCAAATTTCTTTCAGACCAATCACTCGATGCTCTGACTCTGAAATCTGGATAATGGTGGAAGTGTACCTAAATGAATAAGCGTCTCCTTGGAAAATTTTAGCGAGAGCATTTTGAATTTTGACAGACATACGAGAACATATATATGAGTACGCGAAAAAGTTGCCAGGAAAGGAAGATCGACCAAAGGAAAAAATGTAACCACAAAATACTTTCATGATTTGCAATTTCAGACTACAAATTAATATGTCAGTTCAACAACTTCTTGTTGGGTATATGCTATGGATCTAGTCTAAGAATGATTATGACATAACCTATAAAGAAGTTAATTAGAAAAAAGAAATTGAAGTGGAAAAGAATTAAATAGAAAAAATGATTGGAATTAATAAAGAAAGAAATAAAAAGAAAGGACTAAAGGTGAGTATGTGTTTTTAAGTGTGGCAGTGAATTAAAGAGGAAAGAAATTGGTTGTTTTTCCTGTGATTTGCGAAGCATTTGGACTCTACTCTACATGGGTTGTATCTTCATCCGAATTTAACTCGAAATCTATTTAATTAAATAAATTTGATAAATATTTTTTTTAATTTAAATTCGATTATGATTTGAATCTGTTAATTTTTTTTATTAAATGGATCAAATTTAGCTATATATTAACTTGATCTAACAATAATCTCACTCAAAATAAATATAATATTTTTTAAAATATTAAAAATTTATGTATGAAAAAAATATAAATATGAAAAAGGTTAAAATTTAGAGTTTATTTATTATAAAGTTCAAATAACTCATAAATGTCAACAATAACCGTTGTGTTTTCAAAAAATTACACATAAATTTTTTTTTATTTTCTTAATTCAATTTTGTGAAAAAAAAATTATAAATTGATTTATATATATTTTCAAAACTTTATGTTATTATATTTGTCATCATTCTATTTTTGCTATCACATGGATAAGAAATAAAGATTATTTATTTATTATTATTTTTAGTTTTATCATACTTTCTATCTAGTTTAAGAAAAAAATTTATTTAAGATTATTTGATTTTGACTTTTGAATTGTGTGGCATTTTGAATTTTTTACAAAATCAACAAATGAAATATTATCTTAATATATTTTATTATACATAAGTGATTGAAATATATTTTATATTCGAGTAATATAAGAAATATAGTAATTATAAATTTTCTACAAAAATTAAGTGATAAATATGATAGAGTTTCGAATTCAATATAAATACATTAGGATTCGGATTCAATTTTACATTTTTAAAACTCTATCCGAATACATAAGATTATTTGATTTTAAATTATATGGCATTTTGAATTTTTTACAAAATCAACAAATGAAATATCATCTTAACATATTTTATCATACATATAATGATTGAAATATATTTTATATTCGAGCAAATATAAGAAAAGTAGTAATCATAAGTTTTTTATAAAAATTAAGTAGTAAATCCGATAGAGTTTCGAATTCAATATAAATACATTAGGATTCGGATTCAATTTTACATTTTTAAAACTCTATCCGAATACATAAGATTATTTAATTTTAAATTATATAGCATTTTGAATTTTTTACAAAATCAACAAATGAAATATCATCTTAACATATTTTATTATACATATAATGATTGAAATATATTTTATATTTGAGCAAATATAAGAAATGTAGTAATCATAAGTTTTTTATAAAAATTAAGTAGTAAATCTGATAGAGTTTTGAATTCAATCTAAATATATTAGGATTCGAATTTAATTTTAGGTTTTTAAAACTCGATCCGAATACATAAGATTCAATATGTTTCACTAAACAAATCAAATCTAGATTTATTATAATTCCATCCGAATCTGATCCGTTGATATCTTTACAACGATAGTACTATAAAAACAAAGAAAACCTTTCTTTGGTACAGGGGCTGCAACAGAGAGTAGCAAGAAAGAAAATAAAGGATTTTTATTTTGTTTTTGCCAGCTGAGAAGGCCGAAAAGAAAGTAAGAATTTTTATTGGTGCAAAAATATTGGGGTTTTTTTTCTCACATTAATCTTTTTAATAGAAAAATCGTAATGTTTAAAGTGGTTATTTTATGTTGGACTTTATTATAGAAATATAAAAATTTTGAAAGACATAACTTGAATTACCATCAATATTTTGTTTCTTAAATTCACATAAAAACTTAAATAATTGTATTATTTTTTGGTTATAATAGATTATTTCAGAGTTGATATCGTAATTTTTTTTCTCTTTTAATTATTTTTATATATTTAGTTAAATTATTTTTTCACAAAATTACACATAATGGAATTAAATTCTCAATACTTCTGTAATACAATATGTGGCGTAGTACAATCATGAATTCATGATCTCTGCTTGTGCACACATGATGCTAGTTAATGTTTAAAATCCTTCCAATATATGTGCATCAAAGCTATGGAGATAGTATAATTAATGAGTTTTTTTTTTTTTTTAATCCTAGCTTCCTAACTGGATGTAATTGAGTTGGAAAGTTCACTGCTTATAAAATAACATGAAAAAAATATATGTTTATTTATAAAAGAATTTGGATTTAGTTATCAAAATAGAAAAAGAAAAAGGACAATTTAACTAGAACTTTTTGTAATCATGTAATTATTTTTACTTTATATGTAAAAAAATTTATTTGATTAGAATTTACAATAGTGCTATATCTAAACCCAGTGTAGAATCTTTTGTAATTCATTAGATATTCATAAGAGGACAATAAGTAAAGTCCAACGTGATATGCGAGGCCCTGAGTCAAACTTCAGGAAGACAAGATTGTTGGTGTTGTGTTTCTCACCATTTCCGCATCGTAAAAAAAATAAAAAATAAATAAAAATTCCACTCGCTACTAATGGCAATGGCGGCATAGATTGTATAAACGTCAAAATGAAAGAAAGGTCAGAGTACGACCTACAAAAAACAACAATGTCCAAAGTAAAGGGCCCTCTTTGGATTTTAGATCATTTTGTAAGAAGCTTATCCTTATACTGTATATTCCTTTTACATTGGAAGCAAGTTGTCACGCATAAAGTTTCCATGTTTTGCCCGAAAGCATGAACGTTGACCATCCATTTAATTTGTTGTTTAGGTTTAGACAGCCAAAAAATCAAGAAAAACAATATCAGAAATATTGTAAAAGATAAGACAAATAGATGTTCATAAAAAAGGGGCAAATTTTAGAAGTCGATTGTTCTCCAACAAAATGAAGTGCAGGATATGTTATTTTAATACCAAACCACTTTCGTGAGTAAAAAAGTTTGCTTATCAGTCATCAATACCAACCTTCTGTTGTCTATTTCAAGAGGTTAAGAAGCAAAGGCAAAGGGAGTTGGTTGGGCGTGACCAAGTTGGCAAGTTGAGATATGATGGTAAGGATCATCCAAGGCAGAGAGCCTGGTTCCCGATGGCAGCATATCAAGTTGGTAAAAGCATCGAAGAAGATAATGTGAACATTTGCAACTCCTCCCCTTTTTAAGACCACCCAACAGCTTGCATTAAATAAGTCCACATAGAAGCAACTCCTCTCTAAACTGTAGAACCATTAATCTCCTTCAGAGAGGCAGGCAACGAAGACAAATCCTGATGATACTTCCCTCCGAGAACTTTGACCCATGAAGCATTATCATTAGTCAGAAATCCCCAACCTAGTTTAAGCATAAAAGCACTATTCATGTCCATATTAATGCTACGTAGACCAAGTCCATCACTAAGCTTATGCTGGCAAATCGAATGCCAACCAACCAAATGAGTCCTTCGCTTATTCTCCACAGATCCCCACAGAAACATACGGTTGTGGCTGTGGCTGTGGCTGTGCCTCTCCAGATCCTCACATGTAGAAACAGGGAGACTAGCAGACTGGATAGTATAAACTATAAAAGACTTCGATAACATTCCCTAAGCATTCATGATTCATTGTAATAAGGGTCAAAATTTAATAATTATTACGCCACAGATCACCGTTTCTAATTATTACTAAATTAGAATTCCGATCTGTAGTTACGTCTGCGAAAACAAAAAATATATAAAGAAATAATCCACACCTAATAGAAAAAATTAAATGAAGTAATATATATGCCAGCTTCGTCCATTACATACCGATATGTAGAGGATTTAAAAATGTAGAACTTGTACGAATTGATCGTAATGTTTAATGAAGCCATGCTAGTTTTCTTCAGCTTATAACCTTCTATTCGAACCTAATTAAACTTAACAGTGATTAATTCTTACACTACTTTTTCAATGCAATCTACAATTTGCTTGTCACTACGTAAAGATGTACAAATCTAAAAGTAATTTCTTGTCTTGTCCAACCGTTAAACACGCAATTCGCATAGGGACGCACATGAATCTGTCTCCTTGCCAATTCTTTATGGGTTTATAAATAAAGAGCGCATGTGCATGGACCAATGTCCATTACTTCATTAAACTCGAGATTAAGAGATTAAAAATGGGTAAAGTCAACACTTGAACCTCGATTTCACAACTTAATTAAATGCTTAAAATAAGCATACAAGTAGGGGTGATCTTTTGATTTTTCATTTCGATTTTTAATGATTTGATTCGTTTGGTTTTGGGGTTAAAAATCAAACTGCTGAAATCAACTTTTTTTCTTCTGAATTTTTAATTTTTTTAAATAATAGAAATAAAATAAAAGCACCAGCAATCTATTATATATATCTATAATAATATTAAGATAATTAATTTTTTGATTTGTTTGCATTATTTTAAAACTTTTTAAAAATAATAATAATTTTCAATTTAATTCAAAAACCAAATCAAATCTAAAAAACCAAAAACCTATTTGATTGCATTAGCTGTTAACAATAGTTTAATTTGTTAATCGATGGATCGGATAAAAAATTTAATGACCTGACCATTAAACTGGTTTATATCAATAAATTAAGTAGAATATATAATAGGACACTTCAACTCGAAAATTTAAAAAACTAGATTAAGTTCCAATTAAAATTCTAGTCAGACCTGCTCAAAGCGATTGAATTCCAATGAAATCCGGCTGGTATTGAATTGTTTGTTAGAAAAATGGAGAAACGTAGCTTATGGGAATCCAAGTACTTGGTTTATAATAGTTTTTAGAGCAGTTGCATAGTTTTCATATTAAATCTGGCGAGCATTTATAGATGAATATGAAAAAACTAATAAAATAAATTGATTTCAAATAAAACATAAATCAGAAATCAATTCTAAAATTAAAAATTGAAAAATTAATTTTCAAATAAATTAAAATTCAAGAAATACTGCATCCATTTAACAAAAATTTTTCATTTTGAATATTTTTTGAACTTTATGCAATTCTTTGAGACAAAAGCTTCTAAAAAAATTCTTTCATTGAAAGTACCGACGGTAGCCACGATAGCAACTCCTTGGATGAGCATTGCATTTTCCAACTTGACACTCAACTAGCCAACTTGCGTGTTCATGATAATATTTTGGAAGACGATAATTGTAATATTTTATGCCATGGACAACCTAACTGTGTTAAAGCGGTTTCTCTTCTTTCACGATACAAAAGATGCGTTCTCTCTCCTCAGGCCCTTTTGATCCAGCTTTCTTTAACTGTGGTATCTATTCCCTGACCTGACCTTTTGTTTTCAATATGTCGTCCCAGGCTCCGATCACAGAGAGAGCGCCATTGGAACTAGTCAATGTATTTGAAAATCCTGAGCTGTCTTCTTCGACAAATTCACCTTTGCAATTCGCAAAGAAGATAAATTCAAGCGATAGCTGGGAAACAGGACCGGATATTTTTCTAAGTGACACTGTGATACCATCTTAAAGATTTAATTTGAGATTATCTTCTTCTTTTAGATGACCGAATAGCTTAGAAGAAAAATGTACCAATTTTTTATCAAAGAAACATTCACTACTAGATAAATATGCCCGTCGCTAAATTAAAAAAAACCGTTGCTAAAATGTTTTAGCAACGATTTAGCGACGGTTAAGAACCTGTCGCTAAAAAGGTCGTCGGTGTTTTTTAGCGACGATTTGGACCATTGTAAAATCAGCGACGGTCCAAAACGTTGCTATTCCGTCGCTAAATGTCGATGTAAACAAGTTATGATATTAGCGACGGTCTTGTAAACCCTTGGTATGACCGTTGCTAAATAGCGACGGTCTTAACCATTGCTAAATTGTTGGCAACGGTCAATTTGGCAACGGTCCGGACCGTTGGTAATATTTAATTTTTAGCGACGGTCTAGACCGTTTCTAAGACCGTCGCTAATTGAAAAAATAAATTTATTTAAAACAATAATAAAATGAGGTAAAAGTAACAATTTTAAAGTAGCAAAAATTTCGTAAAATATCGTAAACATAAATTTTTATTATTCAAAATGTATTAAAACGTCGCTAAACAATTACATTATTGTTAAATAAAAAACAAGTACATCGATTGTGCTTAATACAAGAAAACGAGAAAATCTAAAATAAGTTAATGTCCATGATCGGTCGGATGGTGGATGGAGTCGTCCGGAGGCCGGGTGGAGTTGTTGTCGGTCTCGGGGACGTCTAATGAACTACCACCACGCTCAAAATGCCGCATGAACATCCGTTGCATCCGTGACATCATCGTAAATCGCTCTCGACTATTATTTCTCAACTCAATTGTGGTATCCAACAACGATGCCACTTGGCCTTGTAAGTCGTTCACAATATCCTCTAAGTTATGGATGTGCGTCGTGTTTGTAGATATTTGCTCCCGTAATTCCTTCAATCGTGCCTCGTCGACTGCATTGAATATGGAAGTAGCGGAAGATGAGCTCGCATTGATAGTTGAATAATAGTGAGATACATATGAGTCGAGTCCGTACATCCTCTTCCTCCTACTATCTCCTCCACCAATGGCCCTTTGAAAGATGTCATTAATGTCGGGTGTGATCGCTTTAGTCCCTCCCGACCGTCGGCTAGCAACCTCTTCCTCATTAATTAATCATTGTACGGTCTCTCGTATAATTATGAAACACGTCACATCAAATACGGTTGTCAAATAACATTATTAACTAACGAGATATTAAATAATATTTCAAAGTTATCACTTACTCGATAACCCTCGATCGTTGATCGACGAAGACTAACCGATCATTAACCTTTCTCCGATGAGTCCTCAAGAAAACCTCGTAAGGATCGGGTTCACGACCCAACACATTACACCGAAAATATATATAAATAAACGTAAATGTATTAAATATAGTCGGATGTTTAATTAATTATTTTTAGTTTTATTTTTTAAAAAAATTATAAATAAATTAAATAATATATTTTTTTTACCATGCGTATGGCGTGCTCTCTATGGCTGATTGATCCCCTCGTATGTCTAGAAGGACCAGCTCCGACTCCACTAGTCTCGCTCCTACGGTTCCGTGCTACCATGTCGGATTGAGCAACGACCTCGGGTTTCGTCCATTCCATAGTCCATGCATCCCATATTTCCTATGAGATATATGCTGGCTTCAGTTTTTTCCTTAAACGACAAAGGAAGCCGAATATCGCTTCGTGCGAGACTTTCCCATGCTTTCTTAACTATGCTCTCGTTCAAATCATCATCCTACTTAAATGATTTCTACCAAAAAAAATAATAATAAACATTACTAACTTTACTTTCATATTATTTTATACAATTTAATTAAATATTAAATAATATAATTAATCCAATAAAATTTAGAAATTAGAACCTTAAATTCTTCCCGAGTAAAAATCTTTTGTCTCCGAACTCATTTTTTTCCACATCTATCCCGAAGAATGAACGTACTCTTGGAATGTCTTAACGATCGAGCGAGAGCAAACATCGAGAGGATACAACCTATAAAAAAATAAACATTAATTAAATTCATAAATAACGGAGTACATAATAACGGTAACCAAAAATTTTTTTAATTAAATTAAGCATAAATCGTACTCATTGTGCCCAACGACAATGACCCGTACTCGATGGTCAACCGCAGATGTTATTGGTTCCGAAGTCGATTGACGTGGGACATTGTGGGGTGAAACGTGTCGAGGAACGCAACAGCTTGTCCTAATGTGATGACGAAGGCACCGACAATGACGATGGAAAAAATGAGGGAGGTTGACGTAGAGGTTCAAAAGGTCGCGGTTGAGACATGACAGGCATGGAACGGGATGTGAAGGGGCCACCGAAAGAGTGATACGGAGGCATGTCCGGTGGGGGATCCATCCGACCGTGAGCGAAATAAGAAGGGTGTCTACGACGTCCATGATCACCGTCGACCGATTGATATCTAAACCACAACCCCTACCTCGAGTCATTATGACCTACATATTAATTATTAAAGTCAATAATTATTAAATAAAATATGAATTATATAATGCATATATACTTACATATAACATTCAAATTAATAGGAACTAATTGATTTATACTAAACAACAATAAATCATAAACATTTATTTAATTAAATCTTACCTTTAAAAATTATATGTTAACTATTTAGGTAAACACACGAATAAACCTAATTTTTTCCTAAAATTGTGACGAACGGGGATGGTACCTCGGAGATTTATTAAAATAGTTTGAAAAATTACACTTGGGGGACAAAACCAGCCTATCCCAACATCCTAGGAGGACAAGATTGCCTAGACCCTTAAATTCGAAAAACAATTACATAAAATCCAAGTGCATAATTTATGAATTGAATAAAAAATACAATATAACATAATCCAATAGGATATATCATATTATCTCTAATCACTATCATTATAATCATTATCACATTCTTCATCTAAGTCTTCTTCAACATCGGTTTCTAACTCCGATTCATTCCGAATATCTATTTCATCACCGTCCAATTCTAATAATGCTCCAATAGGATCAATCAATGACCGACCTTCATTATCATCAATGTGCATGACATTGTGTTGACCTTCTATTTCATTTTCTTGAAAGGGTTCGATATTGGTTTGATCGACGGTAACGGACATTTACGGCACATCAACCGTAGGCCTTGGTTTAACCTTACATACCGCCAACCAATCTCGTCGTATGCGTTTACATGTAGGATATGTTACATAATACACTCGATGCGCTTGTGATCCTAGTATGAATGGATCGGATCTATTTGAATACCTACGACTATGAACCTCAACTAGTCCATAATGATCATGAACTCGTGTACCGAGTACCAAGTGTTGTATCATACCAATCAGATTTGAACAAAACTCGTTTTCTTTATTGGTAAGGTTGGATACTCAAGTTCGAGTATGTCAATCAACCTATCGTAGTAGTCATTTTCCACCTCACCATAGTTAACTCCTTTAACACACACTCCACTACACATTCATGCTCTCTCCGAACCACCAACATCGGTATGAAACTTATATCCATTTATAATGTACCTCGCATACGACTTCGTAGTTCGTAATGGTCCTTTGGTCAAATCTTTAATATAATGATCTGTTATAGTTTTAGGTTGTGCTCGACTTGCCCGTATATAAGGACCGAGTTACTTATAAGGTAATATTATAATAAAATTTGATAAAATAAATTTATGAATATTTAATAACAATCTTGACAAGCAGAAATACTCACATATCGATGGAACCATGATGCAAATTGGTTTTGAAGTCGAAAATCAACCTCGTTTTTCGATATGTCGGGGTCACTTTCATAAAGTTGATCGATAAAATATCCGACGATAAAAATATTGTTATTATATGTTCTTAAATTGAATGGTTGTTAATGAATAAATGTATAGTAATAATATTTAATAGTAATAAAACTTACTCCGTGTACGGTGTCACCTCATCACAGTTCAATAGAATGTAAGTGTACGCCGTATTCTTTCTTGATCCGTCGTGACATGTGATCGTGCTCGACCAATAGGTCTACCTTTAGGAATGAATATTGCTAACATGCCTTCAATATTTTCATTCGGTTCTCGATCACGATCAAAGTTTCTAGGCACTTTCCGATGCCTAGTGTGTACATGAGGCTCGAAGTAATATGAACGTAACATTGAAGCTTCCTCAACTAAATATGCATCGCATATTGACCTTTTGACTACGGCTTTGTTCTTAACATTATTTTTTTATTTGTGAAGGTACCTACAATAATATTGTGAGTTCATTAGACTTAATCAATATTTGACAGAGTTATAAACTTACGTATGTTCACTAAAATCATTAATTTGTACCTTTCAAATGGATACATCCATCGATATTGTACAAGTCCAGCTATTTTTGCTTCCATGCCAAGTGTATGGGAAGATGCTCCATTGAGTCGAAAAAACTTGGTGGAAAAATACACTCTAACTTGCACAAGATTATTGGTATATTTTTCTCAAGACGGATCATATCTTTAACCTTAATCACAATAGATGTTATTTCCTTAAAGAATAAGCTAAGCTCGGTGAGTGATTGCCATACATTTGTTGGTAACATATCACGAAATGCAATAGGTATTAGCCTTTGCATAAATACATGACAATCATGACTTTTCATGCCACATAATCCGAGGTTATCCATATCCACACACCTTGCCAAGTTTGAGACGTATCCGTCCGGAAACTTTAGTTGTTTAATCCATTCAAGTAATTGTATTTTTTATTGTTTGTCTAGAGTATAACGGGGTTTTGGGTATTTTCTATAGCTTTCATCTATTTCTAATTCGGGCCGTCGACAATATAGCTTTAAGTTTTCTCTTGAATTTGCATTGTCTTTTGTTTTTCCCGGGACATTCATAATTGTATTAAACATATTGTCGAAGACATTTTTCTCAATGTGCATGACATCTAAATTATGACGTATTAGATTAGAACTCCA